GTTTAAAAGCTAAATAGTACTAGGCGGAGTGTCGGCACCTTCCCCCTAACACAACAAAGGTCATTAAGGCCTCTAAATAGGGCATACGCCCAGAGCGGAGGGTTCGTCGCTGATTGCTGATCATGATGGTCTTATGCCTTTGACAGGCCCACCCAGGAGCGCCATAAAACGTCTATGTAACTTTCGCCCAAATACTACACAGTGACGGAGCGTAGAAAACGTACCTATATACGACTGGCCGGCGTCATTTACCTAAATTCTACTCGTTTTTCTTCGTTGGGACCTAGCCAGTTGATTTTCTGGTCTGCTTCCGGCTAAGTAAAAAGTTACTATTTTCAGGCCATCAGTCAAACGACTTTTAATCATCTTCCGCTTACATGCGAAGACAACCACATAGCTGGGTCTTGATACCCAGACTACATGATTGCTATTAAAAACACGGCTAGAATATCCTTTTTAATATGTTTTCGGTGACAGTGCTATATTAAATCCATTGGAGATGGATTGACCCTTTCCTCTTTCTAGCTACTCATATTCAAAAATAACAAATAATACCGGTGTTAATTCAAATATTTAGGTTATCAGAGTATCTAAAAAGTTAGTTTACTACAATCTTTCACCATATATTAGTCTGTGGGGGCCGAGCCTCCGCTTGCGCGCTCTTCCAGTAATAACGTCGTTAATACTTCCAATTCGTGGCGCAGGAGGGTACTGCTCCTTCCTTCTTCCCCACTGAAGCCTCCTTTCAGTCTATTGTCTCCAATTAGTTGTCTTTTCCTGCGCGATTGTCACAATAAGAGGCTTCATGTTTTTTTCTATGTTTCCGACCGTCTGTCACTCCCTATTTTAGTTGTTTTTTGTCAATTTTTAGCCAAAAATGATCATTTCCCGTATTTCTCAGAAATGGACTGTCTGCAACCAAAATTTCGAAATTTGAAAGTTCCACTTGCTGCGACAGAAGGTTCCGCTGTGCCAATCCGGGGGATTGGCACACAATCTCTGGTTTGTGAGGTTAGTTTTCTCGAAATTTAACCTCACAAACCTAAGGTTGCGAGGAGTCCAATGGAGTTCAACAGGCAGTGGGAATCTCACTAGCTTTAGCGCCTCTCGCAATTTTTGTATACTAAAACTTATCGTCCTTGAAAGGTCAATTTTTTTGAGGGTTTCTTGAAACTTTATGAACTTTACCAAAAAATACCCTCCGATATCGGAGATTTTTAATTCAATCCAAAGAACGGGTTATGGGAATTTCCTTTGCATCCGCGACTATCTCGAAATTTTTGACTCAAAAAAGGTGGCTCTCCGAAAAGTCAAAGTTTTGACTTTGTGCAGATTTTTAAATTTTTTATCGAAAACTACCTTGCCAAACTTGGGTTTTTACTTCAATCAAAATTACAGGTTATGTGAATCTCTTCTGCATAGCGGGCTACGCCCGTTGTTTCTAAACAAAAGGGGGAAAATAATGTGAATTCAGACACATATAAAAAAAGTTTGAAATGGTAAAAATAAGCACCAGAGTCATATGAAAAGCAACATTTTAAATGGAGATTAAAACAGTTTGAACTTGTTTATCGCCGGAAGTCGGCGCCAATCGGGTCATCGACTTCCACCACCAGAGTCTCGCGGACACAAGCTGCAGTGCCCCGCTGAACAGCAATCCCAAGTCTCTGCCGCAGAAAAAGAGTCTCTCTGTCGTCCCCGGTAGCCTGTGTTATTCTCTTGCCCAGGCTAGTGACGAAACGCAGCGTATCGGTTCCCAGTCCTCCAAGGGTTTCAATTGCAACTGGTTGGAAGATGTGAGACTCAGATATTGATTCGTATTTTGACCGTTTACGGGTCTCGGCCGCATCTGCCACAGTTGGTCCCTCTTTACCAGCGAGTTGCGCGTAAGATGAGGCTAGCCTATGGACACATGTAAATTCCCATGCCAACGCTCGCCCATGTGACCATGGCACCAGTGTCAGTCCGTCGAGTCTCTTGCGGTCAGACCAGAATAGTCCTTGCGGCTCGAGTGTCGATGGAATATTGGCTTGGATGAACGCTCTATGAATGATGTGATTGCCCATAGAGTGTCTGGCATGAACTGATCTACTCTTTTTGCAAACTAACGCATGTTTGCCGTAGGAATCGACTATATCGCCACAAGAGCACTTGTGTGGTGTACAGACTGGTGCGCCAAGTCGAAATCCAATGGCAATGCGAAATTCATCATCACTAAGTTGGAGTGCGAGTGATCGTGAAGGTAGTGCGTTGAGCCAGTCAGCAGCTCCGGGACACATTAATCCATTCAAGCGGGCACTGTCTCCTGAATCCTTGAGCAGTTCGGCCTGTTGAAGCATCATTGGTAGTGACCACTTTTTTTGCTTATATTTGCGTTCTGGCAAAGGCACGTCGGTGCTCACGTTGTTTCGCCAACGTTGGATAGCATCTTGAATTAGTGATTCTGTAGTGGGTTCGCTAGCATATATAGTATTACAAATGTCGAGAGTGCTGAATACAGATGACGCATATGCTGCAATGGCGAGTTTGGGTACCTGCATAATTCCCATTCCGCCCAGCTTGCAAGGCAGTGTCATGAGCTCCCATCGGGGATCGTCAATCATCACATTGAAAATAGCCTGCAATGTATTTCGAATGCACTCGTCAAATCGGTGTAAGGAAGTAGTGTTAAGGAAAAGAGTTGAGGTTCGCAGTATGTACATCAGTTTCGGGATATAAAAGCAGTTTTTTAAAAGAAAGAAAGCAACATGGGAAGGTAGGGATCGCAATCGACTGCACATTCGACTGAGTTCATCAAGTTTCTCATTAACAACGGCTTCTTGTGCGTTTTCGCCGATAGGAGCACCTAAGAGGACTAAATCTGTGGGTTCAGTGATGGTAAAATGAGGAAAAATCGCCAGGAAAGATTGGATAATCGAATCCCTCTCTCGTGCATCATCACAGAAAACGATGAGTTCGGACTTGTTTTTTAGGTTCAATTCCATTCCAATCTTGACCCCTTCGGTCATCACCATCTCGCGGTCTTTGAGGACGTTTTGCCACATGACATCACCAATGCTTATGTCGTCCACATAGCCGGATTTGAAATTTGAGATCAAGGTCTAAACAAAGAGCTATGATTCTCGGAAATGTTGACTTTTGGATTTGTTGCCGTTTTGTGGACTTCTCTCGATAAGTATCCTGTCAAATCTGATATCATTGAGAATGCGTTAAAATTGTAAATTCAAACAAACGTTTTCGCACATTTTTGTGCATCTTCAGGTTTTAAAAGTCTTCTAAACTATCTGTACAAAATGATCAAAGATCATAAAAAGTGTCATACACAACATTATTCCAAAATTGTAAGAATTCAACCGATCAAAACTTTACAAATTTTACTGAAATTAAGTAACAATTTTAAACATTTTGTCACAAATTTTTGAAAGTTTTCCCCTTTTTTATTTTTACAATTTCGTTTTGTCGCTAATTGTCATGCTAACGTGTAAGTTATTTCAAAAATTTTTTGTTTTAGCCAGAATTTTTCGATTCTGGAACTATAGCCTTATTGTCAACTCCCTACTTCTAAACTCGTCGCGCGTGTTAATTGCCGGTTTCTCTTTCCTAATGTCCAGCGCCTCTAGTGTAAGTAACTTGATGCTGCTGGACGCCTGGTCGATTATTTTCCAATTAAACTCAGACTTACTACTCTCACTACCACACTGGCTTATATGCTGTCGAACTGGGGTATCCTCTTTTCGGTGTTCCTCAATCCTTGGGGTGAGATGTCGGACCGTCTGCTTTTGTTCCTGCTTTTGTCAATAGTTATTTGTAAATCCAAAAATGCCAATTTTCCGTTTGTGTTTTGTGTTTCTATTGTGAACTGTAAATTTGGATGTAGTAATTTTGCAGCCGTAGCACTTTTTCAGGACCACCCTTCACTGTTCTCATTATATCGTCAACGTAACGGAGAAATAACTTAGCTTGCTGCACTGACTTGTTTTTCTCTCTTATTGCGATGCATTTTCTACAGTACCAGACCGTTTCACTTATATTTCGATACTCATCATCTGATATATCACCGCATTTTACGTGAAACCAGTTCAAACAGCATTCACATTCTACACCTTTTGACCTGTACGTGACTTTCTTTTTGCACTCGGAACATATTCCCTTAAGATCTTTCTCGGTCAAAACAATTTCGGAAATATCCCTCGATAGTGCAGTTTCGTGCTGCTTGAGCCAAAGAATTGCTAAAATAACGGCAAGAGATGCCTCCATTACCAAACCATCTTTTTTAACGTGCCATGTTTCATTGCACTTGAAATGGACTTGACTAACTGCCATGTTCAACTGTCTCTTCCTGGTTTTCCTAGCAATCGATGGTGGTTCATCTTGCTCATACAGTTTTCTCAGAGCTATGTCTATTGCTTCTTTCAGTGGAACATTTGTATACAAACTCTTCACATCTAGAGATATCAAAATTTCATTGGGCTCAAGATTAGTGCTGTCTAAGATTTCTCTCGCATCTAGTGAGTTGGTTTCGATGTTTGCACCCTCAAGGTTCTCGAAAAATTTTGCAAGAACCTTGTTCAAGTTATAATAAGAGCTACCGGGCAAAGAGATGACCGGTCTTAATGGGGTATTCACTTTATGCACTTTCGCCAACCCATAAAGCCTGGCGGAGTGCCCCACAGTAGACCTCATCCTTGTGTAGAGACTCTCACTTATTTCGTCTTTTTTCCTCATAGCCAACAACTTCTTATTGATGTCTCTTTCTATCTTCGAAACAATCACGTCACTTGTTCCTTTACTCTTGCTGAATTGATTTGAATCTAATGTATCCGACAACTTGTTCTCGTATATGTCCTTCCTCATTACACAAAAACATTACACATATCATTGATTTAATCGACGCAGTTTGTTGGAAGCTTGTCTTCATAATTTACTAAGTCGAGTTTTTTTAAGAAAAAAGTTTTGGCCTTCAAACAAGTGAAAGTTCTGAAACTTTGACAATTTGTTGGAAGTTTGGTGACTTTACTCCAAATTTATTGTGCCAATTCTCAGGTTAATTTTTCAAAACCCGATGAAAATTTCAATCGAAAAATGCGGCTGGGCGAATTTTTCCTGCATAAACGGCTATTCCTTAATCTTTTGTAAGAAAAGGTTATGATGTTTTGGTGAAAATTCCAAAATCTTAAAATGGTTCACTAATTTTTATTTTATTAGTTTTTGAAATGCATTTCGTCCCGCATCAGTCTATCAATTTCTAAAAATATCAAATATGTACCTCCAGTTTTAGCTAGACTCTAGGTGTCCCTCATTGAGACCTACAAAATTTATATATTTTTTGTTTTTCGTTTTTTTTTCGACATGCTTTTTTTATGATACTGTTGTATTACAAATGGTGAGAAGCTCCGCTTCGCCTGTGTTATTGTTTGCAGCATTGGTGCGGCCCTATTGAACCTTTTCTTGTGTCGTCGCTTGATGGAAAGGCCTCTTTTAATTTCTATTCAATTCGAGGTAAATACATGAGCGGTGGCACGGACAACTCGAGTGCTATGCAAAACGCTGCAAAGGCTTCGCAAATGCAACAAGAGTTGTATTCCTTACAAACTGAAGCTCTAGCCTATACTCGTAGATTGCGTTCTGATATTGCCACTCTGTTTCAACATGCACAGTCTGGTGTCCAGCAGTCCGAACAGGACTCTAACGCTGTAATGTCTCATAGAACAGCCAGAGACCAGTTTCTGGAGCAAGTGAAGTTGAACCAGATGAGCCTCACCAAAACCTATAGCGAACTAGCGAAATACATAAATTCGATAACTGCTAAAACAACAGCAATCACTACTCAATTAGGAGCAGGTCAAAATGCCCCGCATTTGCTGTTGAGTGCAAAATACGGAGATGATTGCCAGCAATCTGCTATCAAAATTGCTGGTTAGTCCAAACATGTTCATAACTTGACAAAGCATTGGAATTTTTTGCTATCATGTTGGCTGTGTGAGCTTTGTTGAAGCTTGAGTTATTTGACAATAAATTGCTTTTTACATTTCAATGCTCTTCTAAAAGGTTCTTCGTCGCCCACTGTTTACAATAAATATCAACAGATGCTCAACTCTGCCATTAACTGGGAGAAAGTTGAAGCAAACTCAGCCGCCATTCACGATGCTTTGCTGATGTCAGCGAATGTTGTCAAAAGAAGGGATGAATTGAAAGCAAAGTTCCCGGATCCCTCCACGATTGATTGCAAGCTAAAGGATCATTCTAAAACGTTAGCACACACAATCGACAATCGTTTTTCTATTTTTTCAATAGAACTTGTAGCTACAAATGAATTTGTTGTAGGTTTTCGGAAGATGGAGTTACGTTCATTACTAAAGCGTTTCTTGAGCACCGAATTATCCATGTGCGCCTCGAGAAGATATGCAACATCTACCTGTTTGTCAAGGATTCACAAATTGAAAAAGTTGGTCATTACATATTCTGACTTGTTAGCGTTTAAACACTTTACACGATTAAATTGCATCTTTAGTCCTTTTAGATCTAAGGTCGAATATGTATAAATAGATGCGCTATTTGTTAAAATGCAGTTGCAATTAGTCATAAAACTAAAATGGTCATGTTTTAAGAGCTAATTAATATCAATTCAAGTGTTCAACTTTGTTTAGATTAATTGTATTGGCATAAATGAAGTCCAAGATGACTCGAACTATGAGGCAGACAGGATACACCAACCGTCGAAGTACAAACTTTTCCAGCAGATGGGACTGTTCATCCACTCGTACTACTTTTTATCTCTCCGTCAGCTATACCCGCCCGTGAACGATGACGCAATTTTTAAGTGTCTTCGCATGTTGAGGTGAATGATACATAAACACAGTAGCATTGCAGAAACAGTGTTCTTGTTTCAAAAATTGACAGTTGAGCCGAAAATCTTTGGCTCAACTGCTGTCTGCTTAAAGATTTTCGGCCTTGTTTCCGCTTCCTAGTCTAATTTGAATTTCAAATGTCTTGTTTGCCTAGAATTCTTGGTCGATAAAAACAGGTATTATGAAAATGTTTGGGATTGATTTTTTTATTTTATTTTCAGACGCTATGGAAAATTTTATCACTTTTCGCAAGTTTTTTCTCGAAAATCTTTTACCGATTTTCAAAAAGTGTATCCATAGAAAAACCGCCCACACCCTTTTTTTAGGTCGACTAATTGGATTTTCCGAGCTTTCCTCAAATAGTACACCATCTGTTTGTTTTTATGAAAAATTTTCTGCGCCGCAAATGTTTAAAAAAACAGGCCAAAAAAGGCATTTGTAAGCACTTCGGAAAATTTGACAAAAAAGAGTTTTTTTTGGAGCGCTCCCCCTCAAATTTTATTTTATTGGCGGCCAAGGCGCCTTAAGAAATATTTTGAGGTTGTTCAGGTTGTTTTTAAATGATCTTTTAAAAATTTATCTTAGAAGATCATTTTTCGTAAATTAGTGAGTTTGAAAATTGCCGATTTGACTATGCATTGAACTAATATGTGGCTGCATTTTTCCCTGGTCTCTTTTTGCTTTACAAATTTGTCTATAGCCTTCGTTCGAAAACGTCTGTTGTGTAAAATTTGACCGCTATTTTTGATTTTTTTTTTTCGTTTTCTCGAAAACTAACCTATAAATCTGAGTTTTTTGTTTTTTTTTAAGCATAGCGGAAAAATTCCTTCACGGTGAAAAATTCCTTCAATCACGCTTCTCTTGCACTGAAGGGGTGATGCTTCTAAAATTTAGTATGGTAACTGTATCTGTTGGTTTTTGATACCACCCACAGCTAATTTTCCTGCTTTTGTCAATAGTTATTTATAAATCCAAAAATGCCAATTTTCCGTTTGTGTTTTGTGTTTCTATTGTGAACTGTAAATTTGGATGTAGTAATTTTGCAGCCCGTAGCACTTTTTCAGGACCACCCTTCACCGTTCTTGCTGCACTGACTTGTTTTTCTCTCTTATTGCGATGCATTTTCTACAGTACCAGACCGTTTCACTTATATTTTGATACTCATCATCTGATATATCACCGCATTTTACGTGAAACCAGTTCAAACAGCATTCACATTCTACACCTTTTGACCTGTACGTGACTTTCTTTTTGCACTCGGAACATATTCCGTTAAGATCTTTCTCGGTCAAAACAATTTCGGAAATATCCCTCGATAGTGCAGTTTCGTGCTGCTTGAGCCAAAGATTTGCTAAAATAACGGCAAGAGATGCCTCCATTATCAAACGATCTTTTTGAACGTGCCATGTTTCATTGCACTTGAAATGGACTTGACTAACTGCCATGTTCAACTGTCTCTTCATGGTTTTCCTAGCAATCGATGGTGGTTCATCTTGCTCATACAGTTTTCTCAGAGCTATGTCTATTGCTTCTTTCAGTGGAACATTTGTATACAAACTCTTCACATCTAGAGATATCAAAATTTCATTGGGCTCAAGATTAGTGCTGTCTAAGATTTCTCTCGCATCTAGTGAGTTGGTTTCGATGTTTGCACCCTCAATGTTCTCGAAAAATTTTGCAAGAACCTTGTTCAAGTTATAATAAGAGCTACCGGGCAAAGAGATGACCGGTCTTAATGGGGTATTCACTTTATGCACTTTCGCCAACCCATAAAGCCTGGCGGGCTGCCCCCCAGTAGACCTCATCCTTGTGTAGAGACTCTCACTTATTTCGTCTTTTTTCCTCATAGCCAACAACTTCTTATTGAATTCTTTTTCTATCTTCGAAACAATCACGTCACTTGTTCCTTTACTCTTGCTGAATTGATTTGAATCTAATGTATCCGACAACTTGTTCTCGTATATGTCCTTCCTCATTACACAAAAACATTACACATATCATTGATTTAATCGACGCAGTTTGTTGGAAGCTTGTCTTCATAATTTACTAAGTCGAGTTTTTTTAAGAAAAAAGTTTTGGCCTTCAAACATATGAAAGTTCTGAAACTTTGACAATTTTTTGGAAGTTTGGTGACTTTACTCCAAATTTATTGTGCCAATTCTCAGGTTAATTTTTCAAAACCCGATGAAAATTTCAATCGAAAAATGCGGTTGGGCGAATTTTTCCTGCATAAACGGCTATTCCTTAATCTTTTGTAAGAAAAGGTTATGATGTTTTGGTGAAAATTCCAAAATCCTAAAATGGTTCACTATATTTTATTTTAATAGTTTTTGAAATGCATTTCGTCCGAGCTTTCCTCAAATAGTACACCATCTGTTTGTTTTTATGAAAAATTTTCTGCGCCGCAGGCAAATGTTCAAAAAAACAGGCCAAAAAAGCCGTTTGTAAGCACTTCGTAAAATTTTGACAAAAAAGGAGTTTTTTTTTGGAGCGCTCCCCCTCAAATTTTATTTTATTGGCGGCCAAGGCGCCTTAAGAAATATTTTGAGGTTGTTCAGGTTGTTTTTAAATGATCTTTTAAAAATTTATCTTAGAAGATCATTTTTCGTAAATTAGTGAGTTTGAAAATTGCCGATTTGACTATGCATTGAACTAATATGTGGCTGCCTTTTTCCCTGGTCTCTTTTTGCTTTACAAATTTGTCTATAGCCTTCGTTCGAAAAAGTCTGTTGTGTAAAATTTGACCGCTATTTTTTATTTTTTTTTTCGTTTTCTCGAAAACTAACCTATAAATCTGAGTTTTTTGTTTTTTTTAAGCATAGCGGACTTGGAAAGCTCCCATCCATAAGCGGTTACCCTCATTTTTTTTCCATAAAATTATGGCCCTCAGAATAATTAAATTTTTGATTTTTTTTACTGTTTTTCGAATCTTTTTGACTTTTCGTTGAAAAATAACCTCCCAAATCTAAGGTTGTGGGTTCATTTGAGATAACGGGTAGTGCGAAGCTCCCCTGTTTTAGCTTCCACTCACAATTTTTTTACACCAAAAGTTATCGTCCTCAGAAAAGTCAATTTTTTTTTTACTTTTTGAGCGTTATTTTTTTTAAATTTTGAGTTTTACCAAAGAAGTATCCCATATCTGAGATGTTGGGTTCAACCTAAAGAATGGGTTCAGGAAAGCTGCTTTGCATACGCGAAGAAGTCCAATTTTTGAAACAAATATTTATGATTCTCAGAAAAGTCAAATTTTAGAATTTTTTTTTTGAAACTTTTTGACTTTTCTCGAGACGTACCCTGCCAAAATTGCGTTTTTGGGTTCAGTCGAAATTACAGGTTAGGCGAATCTCTGCATTAGCTGTCACCAATCAATTTTTTAAGCGTTTTCTTCTAAAACTTAATGAATTTTACCGAAAAGTACCCTCCCATATCTGAGATATTGGGTTCAATCCAAAGAACGGGTTATGGAACCTGTTTTGCAGACTCGACTACACACAACTTTTTATACAAAAAAATTATGGCCCTTGGGAAAACCAAAATTTTGATTTTTACTGTTTTTTGAAGTTTTTCGAACCCTCAAATTACCCCTGCAGTAACAAAACTGAGCAAAATTTACGTAAAATTGCAAAGTTGGGCTCTAAATTTCTGAAATTCCTAGGGAAAAAGAATTCATTTTGATGCAGTTTTCTCAAATAGGGATAGTTCCTTAATTTTATGTGGCTTCCTTAAGTTCATTGGTACTTTCAAATTTCTGTTGGCTATGGTTTCAGTTGTGATAACTATCTTACTACGGACAATGGATAAGTCAGCAAGCTGTAGCTTGCTAAAGCTATTAAATGCTTGCTCCGATGACTGGGATTTCGAAAGCCGTAGTTTAAAAGCTGTAATGAGAGCGCACTATTTTGCAAGGGATGATCTAAGTGTAATCTGTGGTGTTCTTAGGTACTACAAAGATTTCCTGACGGAAGACTGTGCCAAGTGTGGGAGGATCATGTTGCATGGTCTGCCCCCATTCTGCATCGACCACAGCATGTTGGAGATTGACAAATCGGGAATGGGTCCAGAAGCCAAGATTCCCAAGTACCACGTCGAGTGTTTCCCCCATAATTTGTGACGCTCCAAAAAACAGGAGCATTGAAAAGGAGGCTTAAAACTTAAATGATTACTGATAATTTTGTTTTGTCTGATTTGTTTCTGTCACCCTAATATTCGCAATAAATTTTTCCATAAAGTTTCTCTAAAGCCATTGAGAAAATGTTTAACTTTTCAGTGTGTGTGAAGCCATTTTCTTGAACGCGCTTCTATTTCATTTTTTGAAACCGAAATATGAATGGATTTGAATTTAACTGAAAGTAGTGGGTTTGTTCCCGGAAAACGTCTTTGCACTTGAGATAGCAAGTCTTATAACTAATAAAAAAAGACTCTTTTCTCTCTAATTTTTCAGATATTGATGAACAAAAAGATTTGTCACGTGTTTAGCTTTTTTTTTCTTCCAAAAAGGTCTTGAAACTTTTTGATGCGCAAGTTTGGATTGTGTTCGAAAATGAGGATGAACTTTGTATTCGGGTGTTTTTGTTATTTACGCAAGTCGCAAATGTTGTTGCGACGCAAATATTGTTGCGACAAAATGTGTTCATTTTGAAAGTATTCATTTTGATCAACCAGCTATTAAGTGCAACCAATGCTAAGGATATTAACACAGACTATTATATTACAAATAGCACTTTAGCTTCAAGGTATCATGGCGTAGAGGTAGGAAGGGTCGGATGTTTTTAATGAACTTTTTCGTATACTAGTTAAAATGCATCGGCTCTATAAATGGAGGTGTGTTAGTTTGTAAATTTCTTTTATTTTCAAATTAGCTGGTACTGCTAATGGGACATAATTGCAGTCTCATAATTGGTGTCTAATTAGAAATGTTGAGACTCAAAGTTCTACTCTTTCAGTTTTTCCAAGTAGCATTATCGGTCAAATTTTTGCTCGTGTATGCGAACTGCAACTTCACCTCTATGTTGTGCTTTTTTTCCACCCAAAATCAGTGACAAAAATAATAATCAGACTGGGTTGAGTGATATATCATTTTAAAGCCGGGCTAAAAGCTACTTGATTTTACCAAAAGGAAAATTAGTTTTTGAGCCTCATCTAGCGATACTCTGACAAAAAACGATTTTCGAAAATAAATGAAATTTTTAGTGCAAAAAATATTCATCTAAAATTTATTTATTTTTTTGTAGGCAATTGTTGTCGTTTTTGACTAATTCACTAAATTTCTACGGGTTTATCTATTTATATAATCACACGACTTGCAAAAAAAAACATGAACTTGAAAAAAAAAATTTTCTGAGAACGTGGTCGGAGCATGCTGTGCTAGTGGCAACCGGCTATCCTTGTTAGCGGTTTGGCTTTTCGTTTTCTTAAATTTCAATCCAAGTGCATTTGCTCAAATGGCAAATCGCGCTCTCCAATAGTGCAAAAACCAAAACAGTTCAATTTCGAAAATGGACCTAAATTTTCCACAAGTCATAGGCGAACTAAAAAATGTCCATTGATGCAGTTTTCACTAATGGATTAATTACGCTTTCGATTAGCAAGCTTTATCAAATCGAAATGTAGACTTTTGTCTCAGGTTAACAACTAATTAAAGAACATCAGTTGATTCAATTGCTGCTGACATGCTCAGTTTTGTGAAATTTTGATTAGGTGGAGTACGTGTTAAGTATTAATTTGTTTTTCAAATAAATTCGAAAAAATTATTATGTTTTTGCAGATTCTTGGTTTTTGGCCTAGTTTCCGTCGGTTTTTTCGTTATTTAAATGGCATCTGTTCCTGTTTATCTGCCTGCTTTGTAAAACATGGATTTTATTTTGATTCTAATTTTTTTTACTATAATTGAAGGTTCTGCAATTTGTCTTTCTAGCAAGTCTGATCTCAAATAATTTTTTACAATTTTTTTTTGAATAAACAGTTTTGGCTTAATTGTATCGGCTTAATCTATTTATTTTGCGTAGTTTAGAAGACCGAAACATCCTTGTTGGACAAAATCAAGTAAAATGAAACTGTATGTATGGTATAGGGTTTTTTAAAAAGATTTTTGAGACTATTTCGATTTTTTTTCATGTTCTGCAAAATTTTTGGTTCGAAATTTAAAATTTTGCGTTCATTTGAAATAAATGGTTTATTAAAGCTCCCCTGAATGATTGACTGCGCCTAGTTTCTTTAAACACAAAAGAAACTTAGTGACTTTTCTCGAAAGCTACCCAGATAATTCTTAGGTTAAATTTCCGATCGAGAAACCTGATTTTAGAGATATTCTCTGCTTAAGAGGCGACGTCCCTCTACTGCAGAAAAGTCCCGTTTTGAACGTTTTACCGTTTTTAGAAACTTTGACTTCTCTTAGAAACTAATCTATGAAATCTGAGACGAAGGGTCCAATCGAAAGAACTGCTTGCGATACTCTTTTCGTCAGAAGCAGCAGCTCCTCAATTTTTTGCAAGAGAGTTTTTTTTGGAGCGCTCCCCCTCAAATTTTATTTTATTGGCGGCCAAGGCGCCTTAAGAAATATTTTGAGGTTGTTCAGGTTGTTTTTAAATGATCTTTTAAAAATTTATCTTAGAAGATCATTTTTCGTAAATTAGTGAGTTTGAAAATTGCCGATTTGACTATGCATTGAACTAATATGTGGCTGCCTTTTTCCCTGGTCTCTTTTTGCTTTACAAATTTGTCTATAGCCTTCGTTCGAAAAAGTCTGTTGTGTAAAATTTGACCGCTTTTTTTTATTTTTTTTTCGTTTTCTCGAAAACTAACCTATAAATCTGAGTTTTTTGTTTTTTTAAGCATAGCGGACTTGGAAAGCTCCCATCCATAAGCGGTTACCCTCATTTTTTTTCCCATAAAATTATGGCCCTCAGAATAATTAAATTTTTGATTTTTTTTACTGTTTTTCGAATCTTTTTGACTTTTCGTTGAAAAATAACCTCCCAAATCTAAGGTTGTGGGTTCATTTGAGATAACGGGTAGTGCGAAGCTCCCCTGTTTTAGCTTCCACTCACAATTTTTTTACACCAAAAGTTATCGTCCTCAGAAAAGTCAATTTTTTTTTACTTTTTGAGCGTTATTTTTTTTAAATTTTGAGTTTTACCAAAGAAGTATCCCATATCTGAGATGTTGGGTTCAACCTAAAGAATGGGTTCAGGAAAGCTGCTTTGCATACGCGAAGAAGTCCAATTTTTGAAACAAATATTTATGATTCTCAGAAAAGTCAAATTTTAGAATTTTTTTTTTGAAACTTTTTGACTTTTCTCGAGACGTACCCTGCCAAAACTGCGTTTTTGGGTTCAGTCGAAATTACAGGTTAGGCGAATCTCTGCATTAGCTGTCACCAATCAATTTTTTAAGCGTTTTCTTCTAAAACTTAATGAATTTTACCGAAAAGTACCCTCCCATATCTGAGATATTGGGTTCAATCCAAAGAACGGGTTATGGAACCTGTTTTGCAGACTCGACTACACACAACTTTTTATACAAAAAAATTATGGCCCTTGGAAAAACCAAAATTTTGATTTTTACTGTTTTTTGAAGTTTTTCGAACCCTCAAATTACCCCTGCAGTAACAAAACTGAGCAAAATTTACGTAAAATTGCAAAGTTGGGCTCTAAATTTCTGAAATTCCTAGGGAAAAAGAATTCATTTTGATGCAGTTTTCTCAAATAGGGATAGTTCCTTAATTTTATGTGGCTTCCTTAAGTTCATTGGTACTTTCAAATTTTTGTTGGCTATGGTTTCAGTTGTGATAACTATCTTACTACGGACAATGGATAAGTCAGCAAGCTGTAGCTTGCTAAAGCTATTAAATGCTTGCTCCGATGACTGGGATTTCGAAAGCCGTAGTTTAAAAGCTGTAATGAGAGCGCACTATTTTGCAAGGGATGATCTAAGTGTAATCTGTGGTGTTCTTAGGTACTACAAAGATTTCCTGACGGAAGACTGTGCCAAGTGTGGGAGGATCATGTTGCATGGTCTGCCCCCATTCTGCATCGACCACAGCATGTTGGAGATTGACAAATCGGGAATGGGTCCAGAAGCCAAGATTCCCAAGTACCACGTCGAGTGTTTCCCCCATAATTTGTGACGCTCCAAAAAACAGGAGCATTGAAAAGGAGGCTTAAAACTTAAATGATTACTGATAATTTTGTTTTGTCTGATTTGTTTCTGTCACCCTAATATTCGCAATAAATTTTTCCATAAAGTTTCTCTAAAGCCATTGAGAAAATGTTTAACTTTTCAGTGTGTGTGAAGCCATTTTCTTGAACGCGCTTCTATTTCATTTTTTGAAACCGAAATATGAATGGATTTGAATTTAACTGAAAGTAGTGGGTTTGTTCCCGTAAAACGTCTTTGCACTTGAGATAGCAAGTCTTATAACTAATAAAAAAAGACTCTTTTCTCTCTAATTTTTCAGATATTGATGAACAAAAAGATTTGTCACGTGTTTAGCTTTTTTTTTCTTCCAAAAAGGTCTTGAAACTTTTTGATGCGCAAGTTTGGATTGTGTTCGAAAATGAGGATGAACTTTGTATTCGGGTGTTTTTGTTATTTACGCAAGCAAAGCGTGTGTGATAGTATGAACTCTCTTTTTTTCCAAGCTAAGTCGCAAATGTTGTTGCGACGCAAATATTGTTGCGACAAAATGTGTTCATTTTGAAAGTATTCATTTTGATCAACCAGCTATTAAGTGCAACCAATGCTAAGGATATTAACACAGACTATTATATTACAAATAGCACTTTAGCTTCAAGGTAACACAGCATAGAGGTAGGAAGGGTCGGATGTTTTTAATGAACTTTTTCGTATACTAGTTAAAATGCATCGGCTCTATAAATGGAGGTGTGTTAGTTTGTAAATTTCTTTTATTTTCAAATTAGCTGGTACTGCTAATGGGACATAATTGCAGTCTCATAATTGGTGTCTAATTAGAAATGTTGAGACTCAAAGTTCTACTCTTTCAGTTTTTCCAAGTAGCATTATCGGTCAAATTTTTGCTCGTGTATGCGAACTGCAACTTCACCTCTATGTTGTGCTTTTTTTCCACCCAAAATCAGTGACAAAAATAATAATCAGACTGGGTTGAGTGATATATCATTTTAAAGCCGGGCTAAAAGCTACTTGATTTTACCAAAAGGAAAATTAGTTTTTGAGCCTCATCTAGCGATACTCTGACAAAAAACGATTTTC